AACCAGGAGTGTTGGAATGCATGTCTAAACTTTCTCCCATGGGCGGGGTGAGAATTAAGTTAAATGACCTAAAGAAATTTCAGTAGGAATGTGAGATGCTGGGTACTGAAAGATATCACCCCTCCAAAGATATCACCCCTCCAGCAGGAGCAAACACTAGGTAAATAGATGTAGGGAATTTCTGTTTCTGCCAGCCCAGGAGGGAGCCGTAAAGGTGTGTTGGGTTACATGACTATGAATTTCACCTATTGTTGGCTGCCCTCCTCCCCCATAACCCCCTATTGTCTCAGAGCCTCAGGTTACTCATGGATCATATAGGAACATTGGTGTCCACACTGCAAAGATTCTGTAGGAATTCTGTAAGACAGTGAAGCTTGCCAACAGCCTCCAATCAGCCATGGGGCTAGTTCTTAGTTTCTGATAACATTTGTATGAAGATCGGTTCTTGAGTAAACGGCTTGCCTAGAGCCACATACAAGCCCACTTCCCTTCCGCGGTCGTACTTGATTGGAGGCAGCTTCTGTGCCCTTTATAACCAAGAGCAACTGAGTTTAGAGGAGAAGAAGTGTTTTGTCCAAGGTCACACGATGCCTAGGGGGCATCCGTGAAATGTGGACCCAAGACCAAACTTTCAGACTCTCATCTCAGACTCTCCACCTCCAATTTTTCCACTCCCCCAACCTACTAGCTAGTTCTAGAACGGACAGATCCATGCTTCTCAAAACTGTTGCATAGACCCCTACCCAGTCCCAGACGGGTTTCTTTAAGACATATTTGCACCCAAGCTTCTGGCATTCTACTCTCCTTCCCAGCCCCAGCCCCATCTCAGGGGCATCTGACTTCACCCCTTCTTCCCCATCAGGTTTGAACTAGGGGAGGGGAGGGGGATGAGAAGAGAAAAGAAAAAAAATTGTTGGTGAAAGTCAAAAGGCTTGTTAACGTTGTAAGTTTAATATTGTTTTATTTGGGGTGGTGGCGGGGAATCTTTGCCCTTGCCACTTGGAGGACGAGCGGTGGGAAGACCCCGGGAAGTTGTGCTTTCCCTTGGATTTTGGGAAAGGGGAGCATTCCTGGGGTCCTTTTGAAAAGGCCCTCCCCTCATTTCCGGCCGCCGCTGCCAGCCTTGGCTGGGCGCCTGGATCCTGTTGCTATGACGACAGGAAGAGGCGGTGGCGGCGGCAAGCGATGCTGAAGAGAGATGGAGGCTAGTGGGGGTGGGGGTGGTGGCATTGGAATGGGGGAGGGGGCAGGGATCCGGGGCTGGGGACGCGGGAGGGGGCGGGGGCAGGGGTATCCTTCATCTCTGACCTCCTCGGGGCATCTCAGCCTGACCCCTCTTCCGTTATTTTTTCCGGGCTTCCTTCGGGTGCCTCCCCAGTCTCTGTGTCTGCCTCTGTTTCTCTGGGTCTCTCTCTCTTCCTGTCTCAGTCCCTCTCCGTCTGTCTCTCTCTGGGTCTCCCTCTTCTTTTCCTGCACCTGCCTTTCTTTCCCCAGGTACCTTCTGCCATCCAGGCCTTTCTACCCTCAATATCTTTCATTTACTATCTTGCTCCCCCGCTCCCTCTCCGCACCTTCTTCTCTCTTTAAAGCTTCCTTCTCTGTAGCAAGACCTTGCCCCTATCCCCAATTTCTCTCCCTCCCCGCTCTCCATTTCGTTCCCTCTCCCCCCGCTCTCCCCCATCCTCTCAGTCTCTCTCTTTCTGTCTGTCTCTCCCCATCTGTCCCTCCTCCCTCCTCTCTGGATGACTCTCTCCCTCTCTCTTCTTTCCTTCTGTTTCCCAGATCCTGACCCCCCCACCCACCAACTTACCCCAGCCCTCCCCCAGCCCCTCCCCCCAGCCCCTGGGTTTCTCTCTTTGGGTCTCTGTCCCTGTCCCCTTCTCTCTCTGGATATTTCTCTGTGTGTATCTCTCCAACTTCCTTCGGCGCCCAGCCGCTGCCTCCCCCAAATTTCTCCCTCCCCCATTTCTGTTTCGCGGTCTCTGTGTCTCTCTCTTTCTGTTTCTCCTCGTCTCTCTCTGTCTCTCTCCCTCCCTCTCTGGATCTCTCTCTTCTTCTCCGGCTTCCTTCTGCCACTCGACCCTGCCCCCCCTCTTTCCCTTCCCCCATCCATCTCCTCTCCGAGACTCCCCATCCCTCAGCATCTCCCCTCCCCCTCCCTCCCTACTCCCTCCCTCTCGTCCTCCAGCTCCGCACTTTACCCAGCGACACGAGAACCAAATTGTCTCCTCACCTTTTTTTTTTTAAATATATATATATATATATCCCGACCCTCACTCCCTTGGGGCCCAGGCTCAGAGCTGCCCCTCAGCCCCAGCCTGGCCTCAGCACCCCCATTCCCCATACGCCTCCTCATCTCTACCCCCCCAACCAGGTCGGACGCCTGGGTCCCTCACTGCTGGGGGAGGGGGAAGCAGCGAGAATTGGGAGCCAAAAGGTTTTTCTGGGGGGGGTGCCAACAGAGGGGGCTCGACGTCCCCTCCTCCGTGCATCGGAGAGTTGACCTGTCGTTAACAGAGGTGAGACAGATCTTTTTATTAATCGGAGGTGGGTGGAGGTAGAATTAATGTTCTGTGACCCCCCCCCCACGAATTCTGGAGAAAAGAGCTGGTCCCCTTCCTAAGAAGAAAGGACAGTGACCCCCTCATACCCGGAAGCTTTAGAATTGGGGGTCCCCTGCTCTCTTCTCCCTGGTAGCTGCTGAGCGATGGACTAACAGTCCCTAAAACCAGACTGTCCCCCAAATTGACAAAATGAAAAGATCTTCAAATCTTTTTTTTTTTTTTTTGGACGGAAGGAGAATTTCCCTCCTTTCCCTCCTCTTCCCTTCCCCTCTTATCCCAGGCTGTTAGGGGACTGGGGTCACGGGCTTACCCTCATTGAATGCAGAAATCTGTTAAGACAGGGTAGGTGGCCGTGCTGGTGGTGAGGGGGCACCAATTCAGGGAGAAGAGGCCAAGAGATCAAGAAGAGAGGAAACTCAGCATGCGGACAGAAAAGAGAGGAAGGGGCCGGTGCCCAGGCCGGGAGGCTGGGGGATGCCCCGTCCAGTGAGCTGCTGAACTGTGGCCTGAGGAAGGGCTGTGTGTGTGGGCAGACGGGAGTTGAGGTGGGGGAGGGAACACAACGTGTGGGGCACTAGGCCCAGTTGCCATGGAGACACCCCCCATAGACAATCTTTTTCCACAGCCCCTTCTCGGAGCAGCCCCAGTCTGAGGCCAGCTGGTGGGGGGCAGTGGAGACCGGGAAGCAACCAGGAGACCAAGGTCACCCCGTACTGGTACCTAGGTTCTGGTTTTTGTTTTGTTTTTTTTAATCCCCCCTTCGTCTAAGGTTTCCAGACTCTTAACTCTAGTGGGTTTGGGGGAAGAAGTTGAAGCAGCAGTGGTGGAAGCAAGTAAGGAGTACATCCCCCGGAGGACAGTTGAGGTCGGGGGAGACAGGCAGGGCTGGGGGCATGGTGGTCGGTGGAGAATGTGGAAGAGAGAAATGAAGGTGCCACGGGGCAGCGGGTGCAGGCTGGAAAAGTATTCCCAATTGAAAAGAGAGTTGCAGTCTTGTGGGTCACATTTTTCGGAGGGACACAGTCTACTGGGGGGCTCTTTCTGCATGTGGAAGAAGATGAGGGGCTCCAGTGTGTGTTCCTGTACAGGTGAAATCCTAGAGGGGAGTACTGGGGGGCGTTCCCAAGAAGGGAAGCCTGTGGGGGCCTGCGGAGGGGATTTTCCTGGGCAGGGGAGAACTAGGAGCTCTACTGGTGGAGCAGGAGGAAGTGAGTCAAGGGAATTCTATATGATGGGAGAGAAGTTGGGGAGAATGCTTCCTGGTACGTTGAAGAGAGAGTGGGGTTCAATGTGAGTTGAGGGGGATCTCGAGTTGGGGGAAACTGTGGGAAGACCCTGTGTGATGGTGAAGGGCTACCAGGAGGGGATCTGGAGGCAGTGGGAGCTGCTGTGAGTGCAGAGGGGCGGGTGGGTGGATGCTGGGCAGAGTGGGGGTACACTGTGCTCCCTGCTATGGGAACACAGGGCAGAGATTGCAGTGCTCCTGAACGGAGAGACATTTGGGGTCTAGAGGAAGCCATTCTTGTGAGTAGAAAATGCCGTGAAACTCATGGAGGAAATTTTTCTTAATGGAGGAGAAAACGACGGTTATGACATGAGTTCGTTTAAGTTGTAGGGGGGAGGGTGGCGGGGGGGAAGATTTGGAAGACTCTTCTGAAGCAAAAGAGAGAGTGGGGGTTTTCCTGGAGTAAACGCATAGTATGGGGTGGGGGGTGAGTGGCTTGTGGGGAAACAGTGGAGGCTGTGAGAGGGAATGGGTTGGAGATGGGGGGCCCTCTTGCAAACCAGTGGGTCTAATGTTGGGTGCATTAGCATTCCCCAGGGAGCTTTTATAAACTTAGATGCCCAGGCCACACTGCAGACCAATCATGTCGGACTTTCTCAGGTGGGACTCAAACATCCGAATTTCTAAGGTCCTCGGGTGATTTCGAGGTGTGCTGGAGGCTGCTGGAGTCAGGAAGGGGGCTTCCAGTGAGAGGAGACTGACTGAGGGTGGCTGCTTATTCTGAGTTGCACAAACTGTGAGGGTCAGCTGGGATTTTCTTTGTCTTTTTCTTCTTCTCCTTTAAATTTTTCCTTTTTAGTTGAAGACAGATTGAGAGATGTATTTTTCCTAAGGAGAGGAAATTGTGGGGGACCATTTGGAGTGATGGCATGACAAAAGCCAGACCGGAGGGGGCTTGCGGAGGTTATTCCCACGGAAGTGGTGCTACTCGGGCTTCTTAAGTTGTGGAGACGCTCAGGGAAAAGTTGGGGAGACAGGGAAGGGTTCTAGCAGATGGAGAGGTGGGGCTGCAGGGGAAGAGTGGGGAGAACTGGTGGGAACCGAATGGTGATGGGGCGGGGGTCTCTAAGGAAGGAGGAACGCGACAGGGGCTCCTGGGGAGGAGGAGAGGTGGGGCTTGGCATCATGGGGGGCTGGTGGCTTCCCATGCGATGAGGACCGTGGAGCCCACTGGGGTGGAGCCAACGGGGGCTGGGGGCGAGGGCTTCGAGTGTGAGCGGTGGTGGGGATTCCTCTGAGTGGGGTTAGTGGGATGGTGGGATGACTTTCTTGGGCAAAAGACAAGAGTGGAGAGAGTTTTTTTTTTTTTTTTTTTTTTTGAGAAAGGGGAGCAGTGGAGACCCAAGTGGAAGGAGTTTCTGGAGCTGAGGCAGGGATTTTAGGGGGGGCGGGGACTGGGGGAGGTACCTGTGCCTTCTCCTCTAATCCGAGATCTCGCTCCTTGCCCTCCACCAGCCGCCGACCATGGCCGCGCTCTGACCCCCTCCCCGGCCGCAGCCTCCTCCTCGCCGCCCCCTCCCCAGCCCCGCCGGCCCCGGGCCCCCCGCTTCTGCCTGCGCTGTGACCCCCCCCAGCCGCCGGCACGGCCCCGCCCCCGCTGCCCCGGTGGTGGCCCACGGCCCCCCGGCTGCCCGTGGTCAAACTGGAGTCACTGAAGCGCTGGAACGAAGAGCGGGGCCTCTGGTGCGAGAAGGGGGTGCAGGTGCTGCTGACGACGGTGGGCGCCTTCGCCGCCTTCGGCCTCATGACCATCGCCATCAGCACCGACTACTGGCTCTACACGCGCGCCCTCATCTGCAACACCACCAACCTCACGGCCGGCGACGACGGGACCCCCCACCGCGGGGGCGGCGGCGCCTCGGAGAAGAAGGACCCCGGCGGCCTCACGCACTCGGGCCTCTGGAGGATCTGCTGCCTGGAAGGTAGGGTGCGGGCGGCCCTCCCCGCAGCCCCCGCCGCTCCCCTCCGAGAGACCCTGAGCCTCCTGGGGGTGCCTCTCCCTGATCCTGGGGCCCCCATGGGCACCCCTCGTCCTCTGCCAGAGGCGCTTCTGCGGCTTCCCACTCGCGCCCCTGACCTCCTCTCCCTTCCTTCCCACTCCTCCCTGCGTCCTGGCACCCTGCGGAATTCCTCTGCCTAGTCCCTCTGCAGCCCCTTTGCCTTTACACTGAACCCCCTTATCCTATCTTCCCCTCGGCGGTGTCTCCTGCCCTGCCCCATCACACCCCTCCCTCTTCCCTCTCTCAAGCACCTGGGCTCCTCCTGTTTCATTTCTTCCACACTCTGCCCTGTGCCTTTTCTCCTTCCTTTTTTTTTTTTTTTTTTGACAAGGTCTCACTCTGTCGCCCAGGCTGGAGTACAGTGTACAATCACAGCTCACTGCAGCCTCCACCGCCTGGGCTCAAGCCATCCTCCCACCTCTGCCTCCTGAGTAGCTGGTACCACAGGCATGAGCTACTGTGCCCAGCTAATTTTTTTCATTATTTGTAGAGATAGGGTCCCCCTTGTTGTTCAGGCTGGTCTCAAGCTCCTGAGCTCAAGAGATCCTCCTGCCTCAGCCTCCAAAGTGCTGGGATGACAGGCGTGAGCCTCTGCACTCAGCAGCCTGTTTCTCCCTCTTTCCCCTCAGTTCATCTTGACCCTGCTCCTCCTCTCCACCTGCCCCTTCATTTCCTCTCCCTCGGGCCGCGTGGCATCTTCTCTCTCCCGACATTCCCCCCAGGTCATCTGAATGCCCCTGCCTCTCCCGACCCCACTCATGGCCCAGGTTTCCGGTCTCCATCTCTTTCCCCTTCTCTTTGGCTGCTGCTCCCCTGAAACTTCTGCCTTAACTCGCCCTCACTCATGACCTTCTCTCTTTTCTGCCTTGTGCTTCTCCTCCTGTACATCTTTCCCCATCAGTGTCCCCTCCCACGTCTCTCCCACCAGGATGCCCTCCAACCTCCCATCCTGGTCCTTTCCTCCTTTTTCCTTTAGTGGGCTCCACTTCCTCTTCCTCCACTCATGCCTTCTTTGACATCTTCCTGACTCGACGCCTCATGCCTTCACATTAAGGCTGCTCGCTCCTGCCCCTGCTACCTCCTCAGATCTTTGTCTTGGTTCTTTTCCTCTGTCCTGTTCTCCCTCTCACAGCTTCTCTCCTAGCTCGACTCCCTGGCTCTCGACTCCCCCACTTCTCCAAGACTCCTGCCCTCTGCTGCGCCGACCCCTTCTCTCTCCCACTTTTAGCATCAGTATTTCTTTCCTGAGTATCACCGAGCTGTGGGGCTGGGAAGCAGGAGTCCTGGGTGCCAGTCCTGCTGCGTATCTGCCCTGCTGTGTGACCACTATCTTCCCCCCTGCACCGCAGCCTCACAGCCCTTGTCTGCAACGTGAAGGAGCGGAACCAGCCGTTCTGATGCCCCCTTCCGCCAAAAGATTGAAATCTCTTGCTTCTCTTTTTCATCCCCCTCTATTTCTTCTGCCCCTTCTTCCTTTGTTTTGCTGAGTGCTCACGACAAGTCAGGAACGTTATCTTGTTTAATCCTATGAGGTGGGCTCCACCTCCCTGTTGGGGATGGGTAAACTCAGGCTCAGAGAGGTGAAGTCACTTGCCCAAGGTCACCCAGCTGAGAAAGGGGCAGAGCCAAGCGCAGAACTCGAATCCCATGGATAGGATGCGCAGATGCGCTCTGTCTAGTGTACGAAGTGTTTAAAACTGAAAGCAAAATCTGAATCCATTGCCAACAGTTAAAAATAGGGAGGCTTCCCATTGTAGTTCTGATTTCCGGCTTCTTCTGAGCTAGCGGAAGATCTAACACGAGCCTGTGTTCTACCCTGACCATGATGGGCCGGATCTGAGCAGCAGCTGGCAGGGGGTCTCCATTTCCCCACAGTCACCTCCATCCGTCCCGTATCGCCTCCCATTCCTCCCACGGCTTTCGTGATGTTCTTTTCCTCTCTTGTGGAAGTTTGAGTTCATGTCCATTCACCGGTCTGACCAAGTACCAGGCATAGAGCCAAGTGTGAGGGCTCACATCATGAAACCCCTAGGACAGCACGTGGCATCTAGTAGGGACGTCATTCATTCATTCATTCATTCAACGTCCCATTTTTATTGAGTTTATATTATGTGCCAGGCATTGTTCTGGATTCTGAGGCTGCAGCAGTGGAAAACAGACAAAACCTCCTCTCGTTATATATCTCGTATTCTAAGGTAGAGACAGATAATGATGGAGGTAAATGAAGTCAACATTTAGGGTGTTAGATAGAACTGAGTGCTAAGGAGGACAAGGAGTTGGGGTGGTGGTGGGAGGTGTCAGGGATCCCCGCGGGAAGTAGATAAGGAATCTAGGAAAAGCTTCCCCCAGCAGGTGACATTTGAGTGCAGGTCTGAAGGAAGTAAGCGATGGAGGAAAGTGCTTCAGCCTGTAGGAACAGCAGGCGCAGAGGCCCTGAGGTGGGAGTGTGGCTGTGTGTTGATCAAGCCAGTAGGAGGTCAGCGTGGCCGGGGCAGAGTGAGTGGCGGGGAACAGGGCAGAGTGAGTGGTGGGAAACAGGGCAGAGTGAATGGCGGGGAATGTAGTAGAAGGAGGTGCAGTCATAGGGATATCAGGGTCCCCATCTCACAGGTTCTGGTTTTTTTTAAAAATTATTATTTTATTTATTTATTTATTTTTTTTTTATTTATTTATTTTTTGAGATGGAGTCTCCCTCTGTCGCCCAGGCTGGAGTGCAGTGGCACAATCTCACTGCAACCTCTGCCTCCCGGTTTCACGCCATTCTCCTGCCTCAGCCTCCGGAGTAGCTGGGACTACGGGCGCCTACCACCACACCCAGATAATTCGTTTGTTTTATTAGTAGAGACGGGGTTTCACCATGTTAGCCAGGATGGTCTCGATCTCCTGACCTGATCCGCCCACTTCGGCCTCCCAAAGTGCTGGGATTACAGGCATGAGCCACCGCACCCGGCCTTATTTATTTATTTATTGAAACAGAGTCTTGCTTTGTCACCCAAGCTGTACTGCAGTGGTGTGATCTCGGCTTACTGCAACTTTGGCCTCCTGGGTTCAAGCGATTCTCATACCTCAGACTCCCGAGTAGCTGGAATCACAGGTGTGCGCCACCATGCCCGGCTAATTTTTGTATTTTTAGTAGAGACGGGGTTTTACCATGTTGGCCACGTTGGTCTCGAACTTCTGACCTCAAGTGATTGGCCTGCCTAGGCCTCCCAAAGTGCTGGGATTAGAGATGTGAGCCACCATGTCTATGTCTGGCCAGGTTCTGTTTTTTTTTTTTTTTTTTTTTTAAGCAGGGTTTTGCTCTGTCACCCAGGCTGGCATGCAGTGGTAAGACCATAGCTCACTGAAACCTTGAACTCCTGAACCCAAGCCGTCCTCTTGCCTCAGCCTCCCAAATAGCTAGAACTACAGGCACATGCCACCATTTTTTGTAGACACAGGGTCTCACTATATTGCCAAGGCTGGTCTCAAACTCCTGAGCTCAAGCAGTCCTCCTGCCTCAGCCTCCCGATGTGTTGGGATTACAGGTGTGAGCCACTGCACCCGGCCTCATAGCTTCTTATACATCCCAGAAAGCACTTTGCTTTAGATTCAGAGACGGGAGCCATTGAAGGTTCTTGAGCAGAGGAGTCACATGAGCTGACTTACATTTCTGCAGTATGGCTCTTGCTGCTGTGTTGACAAGTGACCAAAGGGAAGGCAAATGAGACAACGAGAAGCTCATCTAGGGTGAGGGCCGTAGTGTTTGGGAAGTTGTGTGAATTCTTAGTATATTCTGGAGCTACCGTGGGCAGGAATTGCTGATGGAGCAGTTGTAGGATATGAGAGAGAAGAGCCAGGGGCGCCTCCAAAGCAGGGTTTTTCCACCGCAGCACGGTTGATATTTTGGGGTGGATAATTCTGTGTGGAGGGGGCCGTCCTGTGCATTGTAGGATGCTGAGCAACAGCCTTGATCTCTCCCACTAGATGCCAGCAGCGCCCTTCCCAGTCGTGACAACCAAAATTGTAAATTGTGTCTAAACATTGTCGACTGTCTCCTGGGGGATAAAAATCGCCCTGAGTTGAGAATCACCGCTCTAACGCTTTGGCCTGAGCTCCTGAGAATAGGGGAGCCATTCCTAAGATGAAACAGCAGCTATTTTATTTATTTTCTCTTATCAAATTTATTATGAAGGAGAGGGAGCAGGGGCTCAGTTCTGGGCATGTTAAACTTACGGTGCCCATTCACAGACAACATCTGGACAGAGGCCAGCACAGTGAAGGTCCTATAAAGTGCCATATAGGAAAGACTGCAGGCTTTGTGGAACAGTCTGTATCACAACAACTTGTGAAAACGACCGAGACAGTCTGTGAGTGAGTGTGGCTGTGTTCCAATGAGACTTCATTTATGGACACTAAAATTTGAATTTCGCCGGGGGCAGTGGCTCACGCCTGTAATCCCAGCACTTTGGGAGGCCAAAGCAGGCGGATCACCTGAGGTCAGGAGTTCGAAACCAGCCTGGCCAACATGGTGAAAACCCGTCTCTACTAAAAATACAAAAATTAGCCAGGCGTGGTGGCAGGTGCCTGTAATCCCAGCTACTCAGGAGGCTGAGGCAGGAGAATCGCTTGAACCTGGGAGGCGGAGGTTGCAGTGAGCCGAGATCACGTCACCATACTCCAGCCTGGGCAACAGAGAGAGATTCTAAGAAGAAAAAAAGTTTTTTTTTGGAATTCCATGTCATTTTCACGTGCCACAAAAATCGTCTTCTTCTTTGATATTTTCTCAATCATTAAAAACACATAAAACCCGTTCTTAGCTGGATTTGGCCTGTGAGCCATAGTTTGCTGACCACTGATTTAAATTGTTAAAGATACGGTATATGAGGCCAGAGACTGGGCTGGAGATATCAGTTTGAGGGGCATCATCATATAGATGAATT